AAGTTATATGCGATCCTTTCGGGGAGGTCTTGTGATTATCCTGGTACTCTCTTATTTTTATCCGTAGTGAGAGTTTGGAGTACCAGGCTACGGTTTTCCTTGAACATCCAGAAATGGCTTCGATGGTCGTGGTAGAGCCATAAGGCGCATGTAAAAGCATCGTCTGGCTTCCACTCACGGAGGGGAGGTGATCGTTCGAAACCGCAGTTCCAATAGAGTTGCCATACACTTAATAAGAGCTACTTCCGTTGATGGTTGGTTAAAAAAAATTACAGTAAAGAGAATTCTGAGGGGTGTCCTGTGATTTTGCAGGGCTCCAAAAATTTTGCAACGGCTCCAAAATCAAAAAATTTATCTAAAAATACGGAAAACAAATCTGATAAGCTGGCAAACTGTGAGTATAGGTTTTTCATGAAGGCGATTCTGACATTATAGGTTTCGATGAACGACGTTCTCTAGAAGCAGAGATATTCATGTTTTTGGGGGGTGTCCTATGATTTTGCAACGCACTGTAGGTTGGGAGGAGCTAATATAACAAATTTCGATGGACGTGCCCAAAGGCGGCTTGATTCCAACGACATCCCAGCCTATTTCCAGGTGAAGGCTTGCTGGTAAAGGTTGAAGTCCTACGGAAGATGCGTTCTTCACCCCACAGCCTTTTAACTGGAAATATACAGGTAAACCCCGCTAAGTTTTCCAAAAAATCCCGTCAGGTGGTGGAAGGGTGAAGGGAGCAGAAGGATCAGACGAGGAGCGGGAACGCATACTATTAGGTTGTCTCATAAATAGTGTCGCTTTTTTTCAACCAAAATTTTCATCTAAATCCCCATGCTTTACATCGAGTCATATACCATTCGAAAGAGAATTGTCTGCTCTACAAGATTGTGTTCTTCTTCCATCTATGTTTCCATGGTTTTCAAATTTTAGGCCTGCGAAATGGGAGGTCCCGCCGACAAAAATTGACCAAACCGACAACTAGCTCTAACTTTATTTTCCCTGGGAGAAATCAATCAATGATGTACCCTCTACTTACTCATGACCTCTTCTGAACATTCCACCCTTAGGTTGCCGAAAAAGGTTTGCCCTGTTTCTTTTCGAATTGGCCGACCGATAAGCCATGGCAATTTTCAAATTGAAATTCTTCCTCTGAAACGCTATTGTTTTATATCAACTGGTGTATCTTTTGTGAGCACTTCTTCTGCTCTATTCGCTCATTTGTTTTGTTTTAATGTTTGTTAGGAATTAGCTCGAATTTTAGGTGTTTAGGAGTAAGGTGCTTTATCCACGAAAGTGACCGCATTTCTTTGAAAAAAATTATCCTGAGAAGATGAGAAAATCAACCAGGCGTACATTCCTAACTAGTCATGACTTGTTCTTTAAATTCTACTAGTTTTTCAATGTCTCGGCTATAAAAAAATTTCGACCTCGATCTCAGGTAATGGTGCTTGACCGTCGAGTTCTGGTTGAAAAACCAGGTCTGGAAATGGAATGACGCGACTTGTTGGGAAACCTAATAGTGTAATGTTTAGAAGAGGTCATGCATAAGTAGAGGGTACATCATTGATTGATTTCTCCCAAGGAAGATAAAGTTAGAGATAGTTGTCGGTTTGGTCAATTTTTGTCGGCTGGGACCTCCCATTTCGCAGGCCTAAAATTTGAAAACCCTGGAACAGAGGTGGAAGTGGAACACAGCATCTTGTAGAGCAGACAATTCTCTTTCGAATGGTATATGAAAGATGTAAAAGCATGAGGATTTAGATGAAAATTTTTTGGTTGAAAAAAAGCGACACTACTTTATGAGACAACCTAATACATCTGACAGCAGAAATCCCCGATTTTTCGAAATGTCCCGAAGAATACGATCCGAAAAAACTTTTAATGCTTCTCGAATTCTGTACGTGAATTTTCCCTTCGCCACTTTTCCAAAAATTCGATGCCGGCGATCTCCATCAAAACATGACTCATTTTTTCTGCGAGAAAAACTTACGGTGCCTCCCTGCTACCCCTTCCCAGGCAGATCGAGGGATCTCAGGGGTCACCACGTCTTTGCTCCATACTTCCCCAAATAAGGGATCGATAATTTGCTGGATTGATCGGTATAGTACATCTCTCTGTTCTAGGGTCTAAATACCTGGCCCCACTCAAAATATGGTTACCTGGCACTTGATCTCATTGGTTAGAAATCTACTATCTTATCGAAAACTATCGTGATAGTACAAACATTTTTTGTGGCAATCCAGTACCAATAAAACCATCCAAGTCTTTTATTCTTAGCAATGTGAAAAGATAGTTCCAGAGGTTTTGTCTCACATCGAGTTTGAGTTCGAACTTCGTCTAAGAAAAGTTACCTACGGCTGGAAAAAAACATAAATGGAATCACTCGCCTGTGGAATTTCTCTCCAATTCACGATGCAGTGGTCCTTTTCAAAGATCTCGAACGCCTTCAAAATATGCCTTCAAATTTGATAAAAATCATCATTCCAGAATTGCATCCAAAAGATCAACAAATGGTACCTTCAAACGATCATCCACCAATGAGTCTCGATTTGCTGTCTCAAAACCCCAGTCGATCCGGAATGGCAAAATAGCATTCACGCTGAACCGGCAACGAAAACATAAAACGAGCGGGCAAGAAACACATGGGACACATCGCGAATAGACTCGCGCATTCACTTTTTTGACTCTCTGATCATTCTAAAAAGGAAGATAAAATCAAAAGAAGAAAGATTAGTTCTGTGAGAAAATAACGCGGTGGTGCAGGGCAACGGAAAAGGAAACTCTGCAAAGCCTCACAAGGAACTTCTATTAGAATGCGGTTGATCATTTCGGGGATGTTTGGGAAAAGAAATGTGATTAGGTCAACTCCCCACTTTCAAATTTTTTGCTCTCTAAAACAACAGAAGAGGTGTTAATCAATTTGACGTGCGCGATGAGAAGCTTTGGACGGTCAGTGCCGATCACAGCGGCTGAATCATTATAATTTCGGAATATGTTATAAGCCCTGGCATTTTAGATGCTTGCTCTATATGCTCTCGAACTGAGAGCTGCTTCTGGCGTGCGAACTGCTCCCATCACAATTTGAGGACTCCCCAGCCATCCACAAATGCAGAGTCGTGCATAAAGCCCGGGCGGCCCCTTGTTGATTGCACTTCCACGCGGCGCGACGAGGGCTTGGTCCCACCCCTTTGCGGTGCCCCACTTTTACATAACGGCTTAAAGTGGGAGCCTCACGAAGAGGAAAAAAAATCACAAAGGAAACCCACTCGAAGAGTTTCTCGATAAGCATTGAAGCACTTCATATGTACAGTATGCCCACAGGTCTTCAGCTCTACAGAAGTCGACATTCCAATGATATCAGAATAGAATAGCGTCTGAAATAACGGGTGGAATAATGGCGCACGAAGTTTGAACAAAATAAAGTAGCAGAAAACATAAAAAATAATAGATCACCCGACGAACGAGTTCATTACGTGCAGTCTTCCAGCCTCTGATGAAGTTTCTAACAACCGTGTTTCCCTTTCGACCATCATCCCAGTCAAGCAGGCTTAGCTCGGGTTCATCGATTGGTACAAGATTATCACACAATCCATTGTTGGTTACCTGAACACAGTATAACGCTGATCTCGGTCCATATTCGGTAATTTGGCAACAGTTTTTGGACAACAAGGTTTTTGGTTCTTATAGGAATGCCATAATGTGGACAAATGAATGGAATTACCCGTCACTCAAGTGCACTCCCAGTTACAAATTCGTGGGAAGAAGCAGTCGATAATAAAAGTGTGGATACCAAAATGACGAAAAATGAAAAAAGGAAAAAAACCCCGACGAAGCCCTTAACAAGGACCGACTCTTCCGCTTTGAAATGAGGAAGGGGCGTGCCCGGACGAGCTTCCTGAACGTGCTTGCTCCACGTCTCCGCTATTGCTTGTATTTGAAGTAGCCGTAACTTCGCAATGCATGTTGCATGCCATGGAGTGTTCGCGAGGTATCTCATCTACGAGCTCGCATTTGCTCTCGTTAGCTCGCTTGATAAGGCACTGACGCCTTTGTCGCGCGGTTTTGGGTCGCGACAGCTTCCGCAATGCTCGTGGTTAAATCTATCTTGCCCGCAAAATATTTCGTTCCAAACACCTCATCTGGGGTTGTTCCCTCAGACAAAATAAGTTACCGCTAATCAATGTATGACAAAAAGCTTATTCCAATAGTATTGCAAAGAGCTTGGAAGTGTTTAATAACATTGGAAGTCTAGAGTGATTGGGGGCATGCTATGATACCAGCACTGCTGCAGCTACTGCGTTATGCAAAACGAATTCGAAAGAAACGGATCGGATAATTTGCGTACTGTAGGGACTCCCACGTGGACTACAAAACTGGGTTCATTGTAGATAAACGGTTCCCTCCCCTGAAGGTCGAAAAGGATTGAAATAATCTCTGATATAATGGGCTGGGCTATATATGTATTCACTAGTCAATCACATCAGTGCGACACAAGATCTCTCACTGCATGAGAACTCTCTCCTTTGAAAAGCGTCAAATTATTTTGTTAAAATTTGCCGGTTTTGAAGATAAACTTTGCAAACTTTCACATGCTCACCCGAACAAGCATGCCAAGTGGGTTTCGCAAAGTCGATGGTGTATCAAGCTCACCACAAATCGGACACTCGTAGAGTCGGACATCTTGCTGAAAATAATTTCATGAAAAATTAGTTTGAGAGTGTGTACTACAAAGACATTGCGCCATAAAAGCAATCGATCCTAATATCGAGCTCTCTGGAACAACGGAAACATTACCTGGCTCGTGTCAATTGAGTCGATGTCTTTCTGCGTTAGGCCTTCTTTCTCCATCAACCTCTTCATGACTTCAGAATTCTTCTTCTTATTGGCAGCAAACAGTGCCTCTCGTCGTCGCTTTGCCGCAGCTTTCCGCTCCTTTAATGGCAATGTAAATTTATTTAAGAACGACCTCCCTTATTCGAGAATCTCCGGAAGAATCGGACAGCTCTAGAGCCGACTGCTAGCCCAAATATCTCAAATCGTAATCCATCTGTTCATTTTGCCCTATCCTCAAAATAGAAAAATTTCAAATTATTGCCCTGAAACCCAACCTGGATAGCCTTCTGATCATTCGTGTCTTCTTTTTTCTCAGTTTCCTTTTCTTTTTCACAATCATCGAGTGCAGATAGGAGCGAAAGATGGACTCCTTCATCACTGAAAAAATCACTACTTCTTACGCAACTACAGCAATTCTCTCACCTGCCAATTATGGACAGGCTTCGATATTCCATTCTCTACAGAGTATAGTAAAGTATGTGGAAACCTCAAAAATTTTCTTCTATGAAACACCTTTGACCTGCACCACGAGGCCGCCC